TCATGAAACGGAAGAAACAGTTCACCAAAGGCCGTACCGTAATCTCTTATGCAGGACCGCTGTGCAGCAAACTGTCGGAGTTGGCATCCATTGCCTTGACTGTGATTGCCAAGTCTTTGTACTCTGGCAGCCCCGGTATACAAAGCATGCCGCAACTGTGGAAATCGCTCCACAACAACTGGGGCCAAACCCAGTGCCGAGGTCGATACAGAGTGGAACGACGATTTAGTTGGATTCTTTAACGCCGTACCTCGAGCACAAATCTTACGATCAGTCCGACTGATCGTTCAGGAACACCAGCAGCTTACAGGCTGCTCAGTTCTCTCGGTCGATCTGCTGTCCAAGACAGGACACCCGGGGAATCCCGAGGAAGGTCGAAGTCCAGCTTCAAACGTTGCTGGATCACCGACACACCGACGATCCTCTTTCTCTACCGAAGTGTTCACGGCGGCCGGTAGGTGCCGCCTCCAGGTCGAAGGAACCTGCATCGGGAACCAGATTTCCCCAATCCTGTCAGGCCTGCCGGTGTTGACGGCAGAAAGAGAGTTTTTCGATCTCTTCCTGCAGCTATTGAGTGTTCCCTGCTGTTTCTGCGATATGGATAACCGGATTGATGCCAAAGCCAGGAAGGCGACTTTTAACCTTCCAGAAAAGCCTTGGCAGATTCGTTCCCCCGCCAGTGCTGGGTCCTGGCACCTAGCAGCCTCTGGCTATTTCTCCCGTGTGTCTCTGATTCGCCAGTATGCTTGGCCTTCTGAGACCATTCCAGGCCAAATCAGACAGCTCAAGCAACATTTTGTACAGGCAGGCTTTCCTGCGAATGCCTTGCAGTGACGACTGTAAAAGTCTTTTGTAGGATTGACACACTGCAACTATTGCAGGCGTCGCTGAGCAAGCCAAGTCAGCTGAATTGTTGTTTTGCATGCACTTACTGCTATGGTGTATCACGCTGGATGCGATAGTTATCAAATCTCTTTTGAGCTGATAACTATCCCAACAACCCAGCATCACTGCCGAGCCATGGCCCAGCAGTATCATTTTCATTTCCATGGTGGACCTCCCACCCATCCCGGGACTACCTCTCGGCCACCCGTGACTGTCATCATTGCCCCGCGCGAGTAGGTGCCTGCTAGGTCTGAGTCCGTGCATCCTCCACCCCGTGCACCTTTGCCGATTCAAGGGTTACCACCCATCGAGTTGAATCGCAAGTTCCTGGTGAAGGGCGAGTTTCAATCCCTGCAAGGGAGCATGAACCAGCCCGCAGTCGATCTAATCTAGACGTCGGAGACGTCATCATCGACGTGCTCCTGAAGCTGATGGTCCACAGCATCCGCCAAGGCCGCGGTCTGCTCCTGAAGAAGCAGGGTATGCACGTAGGTTTTCTCCGGCAGTGGGGCGACCATATCGGTCTGCCCAGGCCACAAAGCGGCGAGCCCTCCGGGACATTGGAATCCACCAAGTCTGCCAGTACTGGTCAAAGGCCGACACATGCCGATACTGCCACAGCCTAGGGCTCCTGCTCGACCGTCTTCAGGCGCACAACCTTTTAAGCCGCCTGCTGACGAGCCTTTACTTGCAGCGGCAGCTCAGTTTCGAGCTTCGACCACCGCGGCCAATCCTACAACCTCTGGCCCAGCATCAGCTCCTCACAAGAGCACTGCACCACAAACACCACCCAAAGCCTCAGGTCCCAAAGGGACAGCGGCTCCAGTTTCCAATCTGACAATCATTTCCATTGATGATGAACAACTTTTTCCAGCCACACACCGCAGCTCCTACGAGCAGCTACGAGATCAAGTAGCACAGCGAGCCAGAGGCCGCGATGCTACGGATCACTATCCAGAGGGCATGACCCCTTTTTGGCATATATGTTCTTTGTGTTACATTACCATGAGAACTATTTGACCATCAACAAGCTGCATCGGTGGCCCATTATGCCACACAGCCAGATGCGAAATTTACCGACCGACAAGTGTTTGCTTGGCAACACTCAGCGCCGGTCGCCAGAATCCCAACTGATCAAGTTGAGGAGGTAATTCGATTTCTGTTGTCCAGGTTTGGAACGGCCGAGCACCCGTTCGCTCCAGTGATCCCCATTGGACAAAAGGAGCTTGCTACTCTGGCCAAAGCTATTCTGGCTAGCAAGATCCCCTACCTGGAGATCTCCCAACACGATGCAAAAGCTTTCAGCTGTTCCTGAAGAAGCATTACATGTGTGGGAGTTTCCACTCAAACACATGCCAGGGATCTGAAGAGATCCCAACTGCTACTACTCTTGGGGTCATGGCACCACGGCCGAAGGCCTTGTTGGTATTCTCACCATTGGTAGTATTCTTCGTTCCAGTGCTGAGGCTGTCCATGTTGCTCCTCATGATGATGTTTTTTCATTCAATGGCAAAGCCACTCAGGACGTCCACTACGAACCGTCCAAGTTGGATTTTGTTTCCAAGCTCCACCACAGCACAAAAAACAGTGCAGGTGTGGTTGTCGGAGGTTTCCTAGGCAATGCCCACCACAAGAGCAAGTCCTCCAGCACAGTTCATGAAAGCCATCTGCGCAAATTTCATGGACTCGTTCATTCCCCATCAGGGAGCAAACGATGGGCTATCAGAGAAGCAGCTGGTCGTATTGACCGTCTCTGGGTTTTGTCAAGCACCCACAGTGCCCAGCTGCATATGAAGAGCTCTGACAACTCTCAGGCCCGGAGGGCTGTATCCTTTGACACAGCAGCTAGGCAGCCCAGCCAGAGATGCGACATGCCCCATAATTCAAATGCATGTTGCTGCAGCAGACGTTGCTGTCAACATAAAGATTCTCTAACACAGACACAGCCCTTTAGTCTGTGTCATTCGGTTTCACCTTGATCCGTTTTTGCTTATGTGTGCCATTGATCGCCGAAACGGCCAAGCTGATCAAGGTAGATTCACTTGTCGTCCTCGCCTCAGCAAGGCAAGAACACCGCCACGATCTGTACCTGACAGGCCTCCCTCGCGAAGACACCGAGCCAAGAAAAGCCAGTCTAAGAAGTGTCGAGTTAAACGCCGACAAGCTTCTTCTTCTTCTTATTATTCTTCCTCTTCCCCTTCTTCTTCTTCTTCCTCTGGTTCTTCTTCGTCATCTTTGCCAGTGCACAAACCTTTACGAAAGC